AAGATTCTCTGTTGAAACGACGTTATGTCTAAAATGTTTCTCTTAGGTCATTGGTATTTTATCAATAGCTATGGTTGGTAGTGCCTATTGTCCATTATCGGTACGAGATCCTCCACAACGTCTACAAGCTCTTGTCAATCAGACTCAAAGTCGTTTAGTGTTAGTTCATGCAAGTACACCAACGGTTTTCAGTCTCGACAATCTAACTCTAAATATTGACTGCATTATTTGTCTCGAAGAAAGATTTGGTGAAACTGATCTGAATGAATTTTCCAATGTTTCTGTAACACCAGAAAGTATTGTCTTTGTAATTTTCACAAGTGGGTCAACTGGTATTCCAAAAGCGGTTTGTATAATAACTGTTTCTTTTGATGAATTCTCTAACGTTTTTTTTTGTCTTAAAATAGGTTCAACTGCGTCATCGAAACTTCACTGAGTTTATGCATTCATTTGTGAATATTGATGTAGTAACAAAGTCTGACATAATAATACAGATGGCTCGATGCTCTTTTGACAATCATTTGCTAAGCTTAGTGGGAACACTGGTTGTCGGAGCCACATTAGTGATGCTTCGACCAGAAGGCAATATGGATCTAGAATATCTTGCCAGTGTGCTTGATCAAAAGCAGGTTACTGTCATGCATGCTGTTCCATCGCTTCTGAACAGTTTATTTGAATTTCTCAAAATAAGAAAGCGTACGTCAGCATTGAAATATTTACGATCTTTATGCAGCGGTGGTTAGTACTTGTTTCTTGAATAACTAAAATATCAATGATTTCTTTGAATTAATTGTTTATAGGCGAGGCTGTTAATGTTAAACAAGTTAGTTTATTTCAAAATGTAGTTGGAGAGCAATGCCGGATTCGAAATCATTATGGGCCAGCCGAAATCACAATCAATTGTGCTTGTTATTTAATTGACCTAAGCGAAAGTCAAACAAGCATTTCTATCGGTCAACTTTTACCCAACTACGAATGTCTGATTTTGGACGCGTTCTCACAGTTTGTCTGTATTGGCGATGAAGGAGAATTGCTAGTAAGAGGTGTAGGTATCTTTGCTGGATA